ATATATATATATATATATATATATATAAATTACTAATGGATGCGTATATTGATGGATTGATTTTTGTTTAAAATGAACTCTGTGCAGGTATGTTAAAATTATTTTTGTAGATATATTTAATAATGTCTTTCGCCTTGTTATGTACTCGTCGCCAAATTATTGTTATGGACTGGTCGAGAAACTAATAGTCCTGACGCAAGAAGGCGGAAATCAGAAGACCACTAGGTTTGCGATGATACTTCTATTTTCCAAACACAAGGAGAATGCAAAAGTGGTATCACACCAAAGAGGTAAGTAAGTAAGTGTAAGTCAGTCACACAAATTGTGAGAACGAAATATATATGACAAGGGTGTGAACAATCATTAGACAGTCTTAACATGAATGGCTAATTATAATGAAGTATCGATCCATATATACATAGCGAAATATAGCAGACATGTCAACAACCACACATATATGGATATATGTCACCAAGCAACGGACTGTCAACAAACACTCATATTATATATAATATAATATAAGGAGAATATACGTTGATAAAGGAGACAAGTTCATACCAGTGAAATGGTCACAGACTAAGAGAGCAAACAGAAAGAGAGACCAACATACACACACACACATAAATATATATATGTGGATACATATCACCTCCCCTTTTGAGAAGACTGATGATTAGTAGGATGTTTACCTGGGGGTTTATCTGGAACCTTTGAGCTTGTTGTTGACGTCTGTCGCTTCGTCTGCCTGTTGGGTTTGCGGCTTCGGCTTCGTCCGGAATTGTCTGGCATTTTATGCTTCTTGACTGCATTGCATAGCGAATTTAGTGGGACATCAGCCAGATGCAAACGATCGAACCAATCAAGTCCCAAAAGATTTAAATCACTCTTGGTGACGTAGCAAATTCCTGTGAATTTGATATTGCGGAAGGAAACAGAACATTCGAGTTCACCAATTAGTTTGAGGCGCCCACCACAGGCGCTGACAGCAGTCTGAGAAGTATTTGAGATTGGTGGTCTGCCAATATTATTCCAAAGTTTCTCTGATATAACAGTAATATCAGAGGCGGTATCTAGCTGCAGACGTGCATCATGACCGTTTATCTGAAGATCAAGATATTTCCGCATACCTGGTGTTGTGACTTGACGGGTTGCGACTAGACTCATTGATCTCCTTGGAGATTGAGGACCAACATTTTGTCGAGCTTTTGCTGGATTATGATATCTGGGTTTGCGTGGCTGACAAACACCATTTTTATGACCAATGATTTTGCACTTGCTGCAACGATGATTTTTGTACGGACAAGACTTTACAAAGTGCCACGCGCCACAATGCCAGCATGGTGATGGTGGGGTCTTCTTTGCAGTATTTTGTGAAGTTGGACGAGTATCTGTCGATTTCCGCGGAACATTAAGAGAAGGTGGGTCAGGACTGGATGATGAGAGATTTTTGCTCTTTCGTAATGCACGAATATCAGAGCTTCTCGAAGGTGTTGATTCGACCAGGTGTGTATCTTTCTGCAAATTAATCAGCCGTTGATATTCATCAGCTATGTCATGTAATGTTAACTTAGGATTTTGTTCTAGCTGATTGAGCAGTCGAGTTCGGATATCTGTGAAACGAGGAGATTGAAGACTGCATATGAGAATCAAGGCTTTGAACTGATCATCTGTTAAGGACCTGAGTCGAAATCTCTCACATTCTCGGTTGACTGTGCCAACGTGAGTAAGAAAATCATCATTTTCATTCATTGTTAGCTTGAGGCCACGATAACGTATGCTGAATAATGAGGAGTGGTCTCCAAAATGTTCACGCAGCAGCTTTATTGTATCATCGAAACACTTGTTTTTTGGTTTTTGGGGTAAAATTAGGTTGCAGTACCTTTCATATTCTGCCGGCCCCAATTTACGTAACAACACTCGCACCTTCCAGTCATCGTCTTGTGAGGCGAGATCAACAGTGAATAAATCCTCATAACGCTGATACCATGTGTCAAAAGTGACATTAGCCTCTGGGTCATAATTGAACTGTGAAATACTGTTCACAATGCCATCGACAGATGGTAGCATGGTATGGTTCGGATTGCTTGAAGGTGAAGCTGGACCAGTCTATTGGTTGACGAACATTTCCATTAATTTCATTTGTTGTTCAAATAGTAATACCAAATTAGAATGATCCATAATTTTCCCCGTCGCCAAATTGTTATGTACTCGTCGCCAAATTATTGTTATGGACTGGTCGAGAAACTAATAGTCCTGACGCAAGAAGGCGGAAATCAGAAGACCACTAGGTTTGCGATGATACTTCTATTTTCCAAACACAAGGAGAATGCAAAAGTGGTATCACACCAAAGAGGTAAGTAAGTAAGTGTAAGTCAGTCACACAAATTGTGAGAACGAAATATATATGACAAGGGTGTGAACAATCATTAGACAGTCTTAACATGAATGGCTAATTATAATGAAGTATCGATCCATATATACATAGCGAAATATAGCAGACATGTCAACAACCACACATATATGGATATATGTCACCAAGCAACGGACTGTCAACAAACACTCATATTATATATAATATAATATAAGGAGAATATACGTTGATAAAGGAGACAAGTTCATACCAGTGAAATGGTCACAGACTAAGAGAGCAAACAGAAAGAGAGACCAACATACACACACACACACATAAATATATATATGTGGATACATATCAGGCCTGTAATCAGCTGACGAGAAGGCGACGAAATAAATAGAGATGGTACCACTTTCTTCTGCAAAAACTGTGGTTCTTGCTTTATTCAAATTCATTAAGGGGAATAAATATATGAAATAAATGTTTATTCCTCTACGGCCAAGGCAGAATTAGAGATTGCGCATACTTCTTTTGTACGCAAAAGTCTACCTGGCTTGAATTCATGAATGGCCAAGGCCTCCGCTGTCTTAAGAAGTTTATAACGATTGTATTTGATCAATAACACTCATGTCATTATTTCTGAATGTACATTATCCTATATTGATTTTTATTCAAATGTCTAATTATCGATTCCACTCATGTACGTAAATGAAGTAAAGAGCTGCGTGAGTGACTTGATATGATTATGAGCAATAATTTGTTCTCGAAATGTGGTCATCAGTTAATATTACTGTATAACAAACACTGTGTGACTTTATCAAAATAAAATCTTATCTATAATGGGGTTATACTTTACCACTACAATGCCCATGTTATATACTTATATCAATATAAATGCGGCAAGTTAGCGAGAATTCGATAGATGATCTCAAAATGATGGTCAGGGTATGTAGAGTGACAGGAATCGATCAAGTGTTCTGGAACAGATCTTCGCACACTCTTCCTAACTCCCTTGTAAAATATGGTATCGTATCCGTGTGGAAAGCGTTCTCTGGCTACGGCCAATGTACTTTGCTCCACCAGAGCAAGTGAACTGATACATGAACATGGAGGCGGCCAGACTGGGAAGCTTATCGTTTACAGAGATGGAGAACAACTTGCGGCTGGTGAACTTTATTTTTAATTTAGCTGCAAAGAACGTCTTACTGACTGATTTAGAGAGACGATTTCTGAGCATATCTGAAGCTTGATCACCTTTGAATTCTAAGTTCATGAATAAGGTTTTCTTTGGAACTGAGTCGGTGACCAGTTTAGATTGCTTATCTTTCATGTTGCTGTCAATAAATCGGTTAGGGTAGCCGTTTTCTGCGAGCGTGGCTTTTAAGAAGTCAAGTTCTGAGTCAACGCGATCAGAACAACATATTTTCCTTATCCTAAAGTAGAACGAATGAATTAGGTTCCTTTATCTGGAGATAGGCACCCAACTAAAAAAATTAGTTATTTGTCCGTTCCATGTACGTTTCCGGTGGATAGATCTTTTGCGAGATCCGTCATTACGTCTGCTAAGGCACACATCAAGAAACGGAAGACCTAGTTCATATTCCTTTTCTGTGGTGAATTGTATAGAAGGATGGCAGTTATTGAAAGCAAACAAGACATCATCAAGAATTACGTTATTATCACAGATAACGAAAGTGTCATCTACGTATCCTTTATAAGTGTCAAAATGACCGATGGTTTGACTAAGTTGGGAATTTTCAATCTTTGCCATAGAACAATCAGCCAACGGGGGAGTCAGTGGTGATCCCATAGCAATACCATCTCTCTGGCTAAAAATCTCATTATTGACGGTGAACTGAACATTCAACATGCATCTCAATAAAAGTTTTTTGAGGTGAATTTTCGACAACCCTATTTCTAAACTATGTGTATCAATATAATCACATCATTAGCAAACAGTTTCCATGAGAGGGATATTGGTAAATAGCGACGTCACATCTAATGAAACATTAAAATCTTTCACGCTATCAATAAAATTAAACGTATCATCAATGGAAAACTTAGATACTTGCCTTCTAACTGGTCCCAGTATTTTAGCTAGCCATTACTAATTTTTATATTTTTATTTTTACAATATTGAATTCTATCTTATCAAATTTCACGCCATGTTAACCTACTAACCCTATAACTGTACACCCTTTTCCAACATCTATACATCTTATGAATTATTCTATATATGACATTGATTGTTTTGCTACTTGACATTTAACTATGATTATAATCACAAATATTTTAATTACATTTCATACTACTACTATTATTTCATGTACTCACACCTTTGATCAAATTCCCTCACCGGATATAATTTCTTAACATAATTCGTATATATGCATATACACGATTTTACAGCTTGATTATGAATTCGTTGAAAATAATCATTTCGCTGATTAGTGTGTTTGTACATAAATATTTAGTGTCCGAATGACCTTGGACATTTAATAGGGCTAGCATATCTTCGACATGTTCATATCTCCACTCTGATTGGTTGTAACATTCTACTTTGGGCTAATCGTGTTTGTTAGCCAATAAAAATCAAGGTGATAAGTATCCAATGGCAATAACGCGAGATATCATTTTAAAATTCAATCAATTTTGCACTTTTGATGCATTTGCGTAAAATATATATCTGACCACGGAGTATTTTCATGTTTTCAATGACTAAAATCTGGCAATTATGTTTTACAAATATTTTATTATTATTATTCTCATTTCATATCAGTCAATTAGAAGGGGAAACATTTACCTACGAATATACAGTAAATATATCTGAAAATTCTTATAAACAAGTCGTATTAGATGTATTGTCAGGAAAAGTATACATTACGCCAATAATATTGAACGAATTCAGCGAAAAAGTGGATGCAATAAACAAAAGTCTATGGTATGTAACATTGAACATTGATACACAAACATATACGGAAGAAATAACGCTAAACTCTCTAGTTTTATTTAATCCTAATGGTTTAATTGATCGAATATTTATTTCTCGATCAACCTTAAAGAAAGGTATTATTGAAATTAATCTATTCAAAGGATTATTAAGTTTATTTAATGTAAATAATAAATTTGAACCAGGTATTGAGATAGATAGTTCAGGAAAATGTCAAGTAACTTATGCTACTACAACTGCAACTCCTTCAGACAAACCGCGCACCACTCCTGCATCGGCTGATATCATTATTATTGATAAAGAAAAGACGTTATGTGAACGATTACAAAAACCAATTGATGTATGGAATGAAAATTCATTAACTCTATTTAATTTCAAAGAATCGAGACAAATATTAACACGTTATAAATATGATAAATTGACGCATCAAATTCTTGAAGTCTACGCTTATGAAAACCAGATTCATGGATTTAGTGATGATTTGTCTGAAGCGAATTATAAAGAATATCAACAATTGATCAATTCTACTGGGGTGAATTTTATTTCATGGCAAGAATTAAAGTTTATAGAGGAAACAATTCATCAAGATGATAGAATTCAGAAAATTGTTGAAAAACATTACGACTTCACTTTGGATGAGGTATGTATTGGTTTTTATTATCATTACTATTATTATTCCTCTTGGGCTCCTAGTGGAACATGGAGCTTCAAACGTACATCTCCATTTCACTGTGTTCTGTGCAGTCTTCTTTAGGTGGCTGCAAAGTTGCTCGTGAGCTTTTATTTCTTACCCACATGATGGCTAACTCGTCACTCACCACCTCCCACTGAGGCTTCACTCATCGGTCTCCTCAGTGTATGTGGAGTCCACCTCCATTTCTTTTCGCATAAATGTTGAACAATTAGCTCTTGCTTGGTTCATTACTAGAGTTCTGCAGTTGCTGAGCCATTTTTATTTATTCATTTTTCTGATTATAGCTTGATTCCACACCGTATTTTTTGGTACAGGCATGGAATTTTCAGCATGCGATATCGGTAGCCCAAATTTTGCAGGCCGACCATAGATATCAAGTGTGCATCGGCAGGGGATGGAACCTCGAACCATGTGCATGGTCGGCGAGAGTCCTAACCACTGTGCCACCGACGCACAAAAACCTGGGAGTACTGATCAGCTGTTTCGTCCTGGTTCGGGACCCTTCCGAAGTACGCACCCACCGGGATTCGAACCCAGGACCTTCTGGATACAAGGCGAGCTCGTGTGCCATTAAGCCACTGGGATCCAACTGTGATCCAGAAAATTCATGTCTTCATGGTACTGAATGCATTTATGAGTTTTTCTTTATTAATGTCAGTAAAATGTTTGACCATTGTGCAATAGATCAAATAAAGTATAATTATATTTCAGGCGAAGTTCAGCAATAGCGTCTCAGGAGTGCGAACACTCCAGTGAACTAGAACGCATGCTAATTGTTGGCTAATTGTACCTGCCGTTATTATAGCTGAAATATCAACGTTATTCACCAACTAAGGAGCAAATTTCAGTCAAATCACGTTTTGAAGTACTGTTTGGACAATGTGTTAATAGATCGTTAGAATTAGGATTAAGGTTAAGGTGAATAGCGAGTTTCGGGTAAGGATCAGGGTTATAATTAGTCTCAAGGTTAAAATTACGGTATGGAAAAGGGTTATGATTAGGGTTACGATTAGGGATAGATTTATAGTTGATGTCACTTATTTTAATTTGTTTTATTATCCACGTTTTCCTTTCCTTTCAATGGTTTACACACAGCGATAACTGTTTTGTTATTGGTAATATTTCGAACGAAATTACTTACTGCCCGTGATCACACAACAACTGTTGGAATTGTTTTGTTTTTAATTCACACATTTATGATTTGTACTCATATATGTGTATAGCTCATTATTTTGTTCATTCATTTTTGTGTATTCAGAGTTATATTCCAGGTTGTTGACAGCTGTGCTGTCGAGTCACCCTTTTTTACACGTATTCGGTGTGACCTTAATGAATATGGATTCTGTTATAAGTCTTTCTTTCCATTTGTTCATATTAGTTCATATATAGAATACAAACATTATTCCAATTGATATTGTGGTTTTTGTCCCATGATGCATGTGCAGCTATCGATGAATTTTTTCAAGGTTCTTGTAAGCTTGTGTTCCTTCCTGTTGGTTGACGTTTATGTTCATGATAAGATGGAAGAAGGCAAAAAAACAGTCACAGTACCATACAAAAATGGTACATCAGAGGCAATTCGAAGAAACCTCAAAAATATTGGGATTTGCACAACGTTTAAACTGACGATTCTAGTTCAAAATAAAATAAATCAATTGAAAGATCCCATAAAAATGATGGATAAAAACATTCTGATTTACCCAATATCTTGTGCTGAATGTCCGACTAAATATGTGGATCAAACGTCCAGATCACTCAAAATAAAAGTGAATGAACATAAACGTCTAACTAAAGGTCAACCAACAGGAAGGAACACAAGCTTACAAGAACCTTGAAAAAATTCATCGATAGCTGCACATGCATCATGGGACAAAAACCACAATATCAATTGGAATAATGTTTGTATTCTATATATGAACTAATATGAACAAATGGAAAGAAAGACTTATAACAGAATCCATATTCATTAAGGTCACACCGAATACGTGTAAAAAAGGGTGACTCGACAGCACAGCTGTCAACAACCTGGAATATAACTCTGAATACACAAAAATGAATGAACAAAATAATGAGCTATACACATATATGAGTACAAATCATAAATATGTGAATTAAAAACAAAACAATTCCAACAGTTGTTGTGTGATCACGGGCAGTAAGTAATTTCGTTCGAAATATTACCAATAACAAAACAGTTATCGCTGTGTGTAAACGATTGAAATATAATTATACTTTATTTTTCTTTATTCCTTTACATTCCCAATGGAACATAAGGTTTCAACCTAGAGACTTAAAGTTTCGGTAGCAGTCTGTCTGTCTGGCTGGATTCAACATAGAGCTTGGCACCGAAGTGCACCAGTTCGAGTTGCCACGTTCCAAATAGCACACAGAGGTAGACAAGAAGATGAGTGAAGAGAATCAATAGAGTGGTGCCCAACGTTTCCTTTTTACCACCCTTGATGAGGTTAAAGGGTGGATTTGCCGGGGATCGAACTCCGGACCACATGCATGGTCGACGAACATTCTACCGCTGTGCCACCCGACACTTTATGAGGTGTACAGTATATGAGTACTACGAAAGTTATGCCACAGAACTTTAGGCAAGACAAGGAAATCCCTAAGAGTCAATAAGTGTTATGCGTAACCTACCCTGATAAATTGTTAGATACAGAGAGTAGAGTAGAGTGGACAAAAGCAAAGGGTAAACAAATTATGTTGTGATAATTCCATTTTAGGTTAACTCTTTTTCATCTTTCGGTACAAGAAGCAGAAGGAGCATTAGTGTTAAGTGACCTCAATGCCTCTAGAAGACAAGTGCTTGAAGTCGATCATATACACCGCCTGTTTGAAGCGGTTTTGTGTGTCCATATTAAGGTCATACCGTCGGCTAAGGACTGCCTCAAAGTAAGGCAGGATGTACGATTTACGAGGGTGACCTTTTCTAATATCCCCTCGACATAATGTAGTGGCAACATAGTTAGCTAGCTGACATTTTGATCCTCTGAGGGTAAAACCTTACTGCTGTTACATCCCTATTCGATAGTAGGACGACTTAGCCCTCAGACTCCACAGTGTAAATAACTTAAACTATGATGGTAACTGCTTTTAGTTTACCAGCCGTACAAAAGACCTTTGTGGTATGATACGACCTGTAGGAAAATCAGTTTCAATATAGCGAAAATATTCATTCAGACATCTATAAAACAAAAAATAATTGAGCGAACAAAGAATATCCTTTTCGATAATTTCCTCTTCCCGCTCTTCAATTATATACTTATTTGTTTATATACACAGAATATTCTAGAATAATAGTCAATAACAATATTAGCGGTTTTTAAATACTACTGATTTGTAAAGTAAGATCAATCGAATTACAGTTCATTAAAGATGCTTAAATTATAATAATAATAATAATAAAGATATAATAGCGAATAGAATATCAACTAAAATTAGAAAAATTCCACAAAAAATAGAGGATCATTCAAACCTTGATGGCCAAGGTAAGGACAATGTCTGAACTAGATTCTTTTGGATGCATAAATTAGGCTTCTTAATATGGATCTCAACAGCCAACCTCAGCAGTATTTAGTAAACGAACTCCTAAGGCGAAGTTAAGATTTTTATTGGACACTCGTAACTAGTGTGACGTGTCTAGTGCTTTCTTTCGTGTACTGGGAGACGCGTGTTCGAATCTCAGAAGCGACATGAGTTGTTCTTTCAAGATTGCAGATACGCCTTTTTGACTGACTGGTGAGTACTAACTATTACGAAACCTAGGTCCAAGGCTTCCTACCGACTGTCTCCAACTATCTAATATCATCAAATCAATGTGCACCGTGATGGCGAGCTCCTAGAATGGGGGCCACATTGCGAACCTGACTGAGAGAATTCGGTCTGCACCAATCAAAATAGACATAATTTGTTGCACAAGGCGTAATAAAGAAATGTTTGACATTCCACACAATTTTTTTTACTCTTGTGTAGTGTATTGAGTTTATTGCTTTTAAAACTTATGTCTCTTTTATTGTTGTATCTCTATAAAACATTAATACTGAATAAAAATGATTCGGATAAGGTATATTGTCTGATAGATTTTAATAAAATACTCACTGGTAGTAGTGTTTGGATGTCTAGAGGCAGTCAACAAGAAGCCTTAAACCACCTAGATTGCATGCTTGTGTTAACACTCATGAGTGTAGTATAGCGTGTATGCTGCAAGGAAGTGACGTCTCCTTTGTGATTCAAACCCGTGTCACTTAGTGCTACAGTTAGAGACGTTAGTTACTACTGAGCTATCCAGGCTCATGACTGACTGTAGGGACTGTAATGGATACTTTGATTAGTTACTGGGTTGTGTGGTCAGGGTTGTAGATGCACTTTGCTGACGAGTGCCAACAGGCAAGAAACTTACCTACGTGCAAGGTTTCCTACCGATAGCTGCTACCTTGAAGTGGTGGTCGCCGGGCTTGCATATCGCAATGACCCAACAAGCTATACTGGCTGAAACTATTGTTCCTGCAGGTCTTACCATACCAGGAAGGTTGTTAGGATATTGATCAGACTAAAAGCAGCTACCGACATAGTGTGAGAAGTTTTTTACACTATGCTTGGGGGTCTGTGGGCGAAGTCGTACTTCTGGGGAACAGGGATGTAACAGCAGCAAAAGTGTTTCACTCAGATGACGACCAGCATGCCAGCTCTACTGTCTCTACTCTGGAGACGTGTGGGGATTAGAAAACGTCGACCGCCAAAATTGTACATCCCAACTTAATCTACGGTGGTCTGTAACCGGCGGTTAGTTTTCTAATATACGGAACCAATCCAAGAAACCAATTCATACAGTCCGTGTGTGTGACCGGCGTCAGTCAGTTGTCCCCTGGTCTATGTGGTCAGGCAACACTATTTCTCTTTCTGTTTCAGGTATTCCAGTAAAAAGTTAACTTCCA